ATCTTTGTCAGATATCATTGAAAGTTGGCATAAGCATAGTCCCTATAGCCGAGATGTGTCCCGAAGAGTGACGTCATAGTGACGTCATCAAGTGATTTATTATGGATTTATGAATAATTAATTTTTCTCATAGACTTTGTACACAGCTTTCTCCGCAAGTCTTTTCCTATACAACACTGATATATCTTACTGAGTAGTTCTGAACTTTGGCCGAGAATTACTATGAGAAGGAAAAAGAAATCGTATTTTTTTACGTATGCCATTTTATTGAAAATATTCCCAAGAGTCAGAATATCAAGTAATATTTTATAAAAATGTTTCAGTTTAAAGGCAAATCACGTTTTTATAGGTGCAGTTTTTCTGCTGTGGGATTTTTAACCCATTGACTTTGTACACGTTTTCAAGCCACCATTTTAATAATTTGGCGATCTGGAATCGTCATCGAAGTTACTGCCAAGGAAGACCCTCATACAAAAATTATGCCAAGACTATGACGTCACGATGACGTCATCACCTAATTTTTTATTGATTTTTGAAAATTTGCGTGCATATTGTGAAGTCTTATATCTACAGAAATGTAAGTCCGATTGGGTTGAAACTTGGTATGTGGCTATACCAGGATGTGTTATAGATTAAAAATGAGGTGACGTCATGATGACGTCATCCTGAGATTTTATATGAATATTTGATTTTTTGGACCTTTTAACCATATCTCCCGAACGCAACATGCAAAATGCAAAATTCTTTTTTGCATTAGGTCTGTTAGGTAATAGGTATTCACACAAAACTTGAAAAATGTGTGACGTCATCATGACGTCATCAAAATGCGATTTTTCAAAACTCATATAAGGAAAGGTCCAATTGTCATGAAACTTGGAGGGTAGGTTGTTAATCATACTAGTATGCAAAGTTTGAAATGACGTCACGATGACGTCATCAAAAATTTAAAAATAATTGTCGATTTTCAAATTGCATTTTCGACTCTTTGCCAGTAATTTATTTAGATCACTCTTTGTCCAAGCAAAGACCTTGTACACACGCACATACATCGTATTGCCGAGGTCAAATCCTGTCCAAAGTGACCGTTTTAGCCGATTTTTCGGCTAACTTTGACAGATATTATGTTCATGCATATTCAGGGCATATTATTGATTAAAAAAAATCATAATGTGGAAAAGCCCTATGTTCTGTTGCAAACAGACATAGACCTCTAGTTTCTTTTTCTTTTTTTTTTTCTCCTTTTTCAGACTTTTTCTCCATAGGTTTAACACACGTTTCTTCTACCACTCCACTTTGCCACTTTTTAAAATCCGATTGATTTCAGACTTGGTACATACTTAGACCACCACCCACAGATGGTCCTAGAAGAAATTTGTGATCATGACGTCATCAGGTGTCAGGTTACATCAAATTAAAGATGCATTTTTCCCCATAGGGTTTGTACACGTTTTAAAACACACCAGTTTGGCATCTTCATAAATCCGATCGACTTTAAACTTAATTCATACTTAGACCACCACCCACAGATGGTTCTAGACGAAATTCGTGATCGTGACGTCATCAAGTGTCAGGTTACGTCACATTAAAGATGCATTTTTCCCCATAGGGTTTGTACATGTATTAAAACGCTCCATTTCGGCACTTTCGTAAATCCGATCGACGTTACACTTGGTACACACTTAGACCACCACCCACAGATGGTCCAAGAAGAAAATTTGTGATCGTGGCGTCATCAGGTGCTCGGTTACGTCACATTAAAGATGCGTTTTTCCCATATGTTTTGTACACGTTTTAAAACATTCCACTTTGGCACCTTCGTAAATCCGATCGACCTCAGTCTTGATACATTTTTAGACCACCACCCAAAGATGGTCCTAGAAGAAATGCGCGATCGTGACGTCATCAGGTGTTGGGTTACATCACATTAAAGATGCATTTTTCCCCATAGGGTTTGTACACGTTTTAAAACACTCTACTTTGGCACTTTTGTAAATTATGCGATCGACGTTAGACCTGGTACACACTTAGACTACCACCCACAGATGGTCCTAGAAGAAATTCGTGATCGTACCAATGCCGAGATGGGTTATAGATGAAAATTCATGTGATGTCATCATCAAATGTCATGTGACGTCCCTTAAAGGGGCATTTTGTTCTTCATAGGCCTATATTTACAGACCTATATGTTCGATTTGGTTATAACTTGACATGTACGTATAATGTGCTGTTATAGATGACATTTTTAGTGACGTCACTGATTGTTCATCACGTGCACAGAGTATTTTGAATATCCGAAACAGCTTGTGTTTGTCCACAAACACATCTCTAGTTCTTTTTTTTTTTCTCCTTTTTCAGACTTTTTCTCCATAGGTTTAACACACGTTTCTTCTACCAGTCCACTTTGCCACTTTTTAAAATCCAATCGATTTCAGACTTGGTACATATTTAGACCACCACCCACAGATGGTCCTAGAAGAAATTCGTGACCGTGACGTCATCAGGTGTCGGGTTACGTCACATTAAAGATGCATTTTTCCCCATATGTTTTGTACATGTTTTAAAACACTCCACTTTGGCCTCCTCGTAAATCCGATCGACCTCAGACTTGATTCATACTTAGACCACCACCCACAGATGGTCCTAGAAGAAATTCGTGACCTTGACGTCATCAGGTGTCGGGTTACGTTACATTAAAGATGCATTTTTCCCCATATGTTTTGAACACGTTTTAAAACACTCCACTTTGGCATCTTCGTAAATCTGATCGACTTTAGACTTAATTAATATTTAGACCACTACCCACCGATGGTCCTAGGCGAAATTCGTGATCGTGACATCATCAGGTGTCAGGTTACGTCACATTAAATGCATTTTTCCCCATAGGGTTTGTACACGTTTTAAAACGCTCCATTTCGGCACTTTCGTTAATCTGATCGACGTTACACTTGGTACACACTTAGATCACCAATCACAGATGGTCCATGAAGAAATTCGTGATTGTGACGTCATCAGGTGTCATATTACTTCACATTAAAGATGCACATTTTCCCTATTGGTTTTGTACACGTTTTTCTTCGTACTTAGATCACCACCCACAGATGGTCCTAGAAGAAATTCGTGACCGTGACGTCATCAGGTGTCGGGTTACGTCACATTAAAGATGCATTTTTCCCCATATGTTTTGTACACGATTTAAAACACTCCACTTTGTCCTCTTCGTAAATCTGATCGACCTCAGACTTGATACATACTTAGATCACCACCCACAAATGGTCCTAGAAGAAATTCGTGACTGTGACATCATCAGGTGTCGGGTTACGTCACATTAAAGATGTATTTTTCCCCATATGTTTTGTACACGTTTTAAAACACTCCACTTTGGCCTCTTCGTAAATCCGATCGACCTCAGACTTGATACGTACTTTGACCACCACCCACAAATGGTTCTAGAATAAATTCATGACCGTGACGTCATCAGGTGTCGGGTTACGTCACCTTAAAGATGCATTTTTCCCCGTAGGGTTTGTACACGTTTTTAAACACTCCACTTTGGCACTTTCGTAAATTCGATGTACTTTAGACTTGGCACACACTTAGACCATTACCCACAGATGGTCCTAGAATAAGTTTGTGATCAAGACGTCATCAGGTGTTGGGTTAAGTAACATTAAAGATGCATTTTTCCCCATAGGGTTTGTACACGATTTAAAAAATTCTACTTTGGCACTTTCGTAAATCCAATCGACGTGAGACTTCGTACACACTTAGACTACCACCCACAGATGGTCCTAGAAGAAATTCGTGATCGTGAGATTATCAGGTGTAAAGTTACTTCACATTAAAGATGCATTTTTCCCCATAGGTTTTATACACGTTTTTCTTCAATTCATACTTTGGCACGATATGTCTGATTGACTTTTCTCTTGGCAGATGACATTCGAAGTGACTTCATCGAGTGTTCATCACGTGCAGAGAGTATTTTAAATATCCGAAACAGCTTGTGTTTGTCCACAAACACATTTCTAGTTTTATCTAATTGTTATCCTATGCTATGCTAGATTACATATAGGTTCCATTATTTTAACTTTTCATGTACATTTGGAAATAGCTGAATAAATGTCATTATTGAAAGTAAAGAAAATACACACAGCAATTTTAAAAATCTTCGCAAATGCTAAATAGTGGTTAACTTAAAAATAGAGTACATCATTTGTCATTTGTGCATTTGTTTCGTTTGAAGCAACAAAAGTGCTCAAAATCCAAAGGTTTAGATTTTGAAAAGCTAAAACCCATGCATTTTTAGCTCTAGAATGCTGAATATTTCGAGAAAATAATATTCTAGGTTCTCAATTTCATTTCAAAAGTTGCCAAGTCATATTAAGAAATTTTCCTAAAATCAGCAACCAAAACACGTCCTCAATCACCCGATGTCACGCACTGAACTGACGAAAAATACCAACTGCGTGCTTGTGCGTCGTGTCGACGCTTGCGTGCACCCATTCACGGATTCGCTCAATTACAAACCAACTACTGACAGAAATTTAAAAAAAAATTGTCACTCGACGCATCTTTGGAAATGACCTTCTTGTACTTTTTTCTTCAAAATGACAGCATGCCAGAAGGAATAATGTTCACATGGGGTTAAGTGCCACTATCTTTAAACCAAGTAAGCTTTCCAACAATAATTTGGTCATTTACTTTTTTGGATATCTGCAAATGATCTACTCCACCTTCAACCAGTTCGCACCGGAGGCCGTGTATACACACAAAAGTTTTGCGGTATTCGAAACGGATGACAGATAAACACGTAGAGAGCGAGGCTGGAAATATCTGTCAGCGACCCGCTTGCAGCAAGCAAGGCCGGAAATATGAGTGTGCTGCCCGAGGGTGATGGCTTCAACCCGCCTGGCTTGAGGTCGAGTGAAATGTAATCCCGCGCCTCATTCCGTTCTTGTCAAAATAATCCCAGCGTGAACTGGTTAAATAAGGCTGATACTGACCTGCTGTGCATGTGCTGAACTGCCAGAACCAGCTGAACGAACCAATCCATGATCAGGGTTTGGTCAACCTGTCGTCCTGACTTCTTGTAAGCTGTGATCTTATCGTCCAGATCCCCACCCTACAAAAATAAAAGTTTCCAAAATGTGCACTTATCCACAAAATAAATTCAAGGCTAGCGTATCCTGCTTTTAAATGAAGAACATGCTGTTGTTGGAAACTTTTTATGTTTATGTTCAATCTAAACAAACTGGATAGTCCATTGAGAAGAACCTTGCTTCTTTCGGATAATTCTTATTTTTTTGTTTTCGCTTTTGACCTTAAACCTTATTTTCCCTGCGAAATAAAGCAACCATTAACAGTATAATATTAACTCTAGCAAATGAACAACAACTGTTACAGGTACCGGTATGAATGTATTAACCCTTACTCTCTGAGGGTAGTTTACTGCATGTCAGTTGGTTATGCCAATGCCCTCCAGCTGCAGTATATTGGAGGATAAACTATCTTGACTGTGAAGGCTCCAATTGGCAGGAGTTGGAGGCCCTGGAGGGTGCCTGATACTGACCAGCTGGGGGCACTCACTTTGTTATCAGAGGACTCTCATTGTTCTCTGTGGCATGTATTGGAGTGCCTGTCCAGTTACCCTTGAAATGACATGGCAGATATTGGAGGGCCATGCAAAAAACATAGGAGATTTTCTTGAGGCACATATTGGCATGCGTTGGAGGGTCTAGTAGGGTAAGGGTTAAAAGCATGGCTTGAGTGAGAGATAACTTAATGGACAATATAACAGTGTTTAGGTTTATCCTTTCTTTGTGCATTTTTTTATGCCACTAAAATCAGAGCTGTATAACAGATATCAAGTTACCCCTTCTTCCAAAACTAATCACTTTACAATAAAGTAACACACGCAGAAGTTGCAGAACTAAGCAACGGTCACAGCCTCATTATTAAATGCATTTGTCTACCCGAACAGAACTCAACCCATCAAACCCAAGTGGCATGTTTTGTTGGAATCTGTCAGGATGGGTACAGTACCCCTAAACTGAAGGTCTTTCACATTGGGTTGGCACACCTCCAGAATCAAAGTCAAAAATATGTGTGTGCAGTTTCCCATATGGTGTTGGAATTTGCCAGGATGGGTATGGTCCCTAGTACATCATGCTAGGGAGTTAGGGCTAAGATCAGAAAGCTTTGCTCTCACCTCGCAGTACTCTGTGATGATGCAGAAGAATTCCCCATCCAAGAAGCTGTCGTTAAACCTGACGATGTTTGGATGGTGGAGCTTGGAGAGCAGCTTAGCCTCATGCATGGCGTCTACTGTCTCATCAGGAGCTAAATCGCTGCATGATATCTCCTTCAGGACCTTCCTGTCATTGACCATGTCAAATTGCAAAAACAAAACAAAAACATTCTTTCATCTTGTTAAATTTGTAAGCTACTCCTGAGGGTTTACTTGTTTTTTGAAGTTATAGAGGGTGAGTAAAAAAAAAAGAAAACCCAAATGTTGGGACTATTGTTTTAGTGAAGTTCTGCATGTAGCACTTTCAATATCTAGCATATGAAAGCTCAATTCATGAGTATTCTTTTAGTACAAGAATCATTCAAATCACTTGTGTACTTTTCAAGTTACAGACTTTTAAACACAACCACCGTTTTAAAGTTCTGTCCACGGATAACAAAAAAAGGTGTGTGTTCTTTCAGCAAAACGAAAACAAATCACATAGGGATGTGTGTAAATTGTTTTCGGTTTGCTGAAAGAACGCACGCCTTTTGAGTGATCCGTGGACAGAACTTTAAAACGGTGGTTGTGTTTAAAATTCCGTAACTTGAAAAGTATGTAAGTGATTTGCATGATTCTTGTACTGAAAGATAGCTTATGAATTGGGCTTTTATATCCTAGATTTTGAAAGTGCTACATGCAGAACTTCAATAAAACAAAAGTCCCGACATTTGGGTTTTGTGTTTTTTGACTCACCCTGTACAACCTTGAATATGTATACTAGGACCTTTTGGCTGGGATCCATTCTCAATCCTTCAAAATCCTCTAATTACCGCCAGGTAATAATCGGATACAGCCTCATTCCTCCAAAAGCATCTGTTATTTCTTGCATTTGTGCAGTGGAGGGGTGACCACCGCCTCAATCCTTCCAACTCCTCCAACAATCATTGTAATACAATGAGGAATTGTTGATGATATCCAGAAGTGGTGCGGATAACATCTGGTATAATCTAGGCATAATTTATGCATTGCTATTGCATAAACAACAAGGTGCAGCTTAAGACCTTGACCCAATGCATCCTTCAAAATCAATTGGCGCTAAAATGGCATACAGCCTCAATTCTCTCCAAAATCCCCCCAAACTGCCTAGTTGATTTTGGAGGATTGAGGAGGGTTAGGGTTACAATTCGCACAATTTTTCTGCTACGTTAACCCTAACCCTCCAGGGTATGTTTGCTAGAACCCTGCCAAACGTAGCAACATGCAACACACAAGCCTGCCAAATGCAGCAAGATCCATCAGGGGAAAAGTCTCGAGGCCAACACTGCCTGAGATTCCCTGGTCACCGCATGCAGCAGGATAGAACTGTGGCATTGTTCAATGGGATCGCCTTAGCTCTCATTGTTGGTAGCTGAATGCATCAAAGTGCACCAGTTCTTTTCACCTGATACACTACGTTGCATCTGGCAAGATTAGGATTAATCTTAAGGTTTCTGCTGAGCGATTTTGTGAAACTGGTTCCCGTACTTACCATTCCTCCTCCCCTTTGCTGGTGTTTGCCTTGGTGTCGTGCACCAGGTAAGCCGTGCCATAATTGCCACTGCCTAGCTTCTTCTCCACCACGTACCGGTTGGCCAAGACCCGATGGTCACTCTTGTCGTCCTTGGGCTTCTTGACACCTCGCGCTGGAGGCATGGCGGCATGTAGACCTTTGAGTTGCAGGGGCTGAGGAGGAAATGTAAGGATCACGTCAGGTTTTCAGTGCAGCAAAAATAGCAGAATGAATTTGAAGCTTGTGTTCAAGGATCTGTGACAACACTGCATTAACCTACCGCCTTTTAACATGGTCTTGCGATAGTAGGGTTGGAAAGAATTCCATACCTGGACATCACTTGACACCCTGTGCACAAACCTAATGAGAGTGGTCTGAAGAAAAAAAAACACCTCACGTTCCACCACCCCTGCCTCACTGAGGCCGGGGCCTGGGCCAGAGTTGTATTTATTTGGAATTGGGCGAGTTCGACACCTTAGCCCCATAAATGTGGCCAATTTACTGGACTACCACCATAAATAAAGGCCACACTTCCACCATGTACAAAAACATGTCGAACTTTGTCAAATTTTGATTTCACATTTAGGCTTAGTTTGTACTGTAGTTTCTTTTTGCTTTAGAAGCATACTCGCCCTCTTTATAGGCTAATCAGAAAGTGCTGCCTTTGGAAAGATTTCCATATACGAAGTTCACTAATTTTCCTCTGTATTGACCAACCCCCCAGATAGCAATTTCATGTCATCAAAGTTAATTTGAGCAGTGAGAAAATACAAGCATTTTCTTAGAAAACAGTCCAATCTCATAGGGTTTGTACACAGGGTGTTGAGTGAACTTCGTATATGGAAATCTTTCCCTGCCTTTTTCAAATGCCTAATTTTCATGAAATTTCATGTTGAAATTTTGATACGCAAACGTGTGCAAACGAATCTGGAAATGTCACGAAAATAGGCATCTGAAAAAGGCAGCACTTTCTGATTTAGAGGGTGAGTATGCTTCTAAAGCAAAAATAAACTACAAACTAAGCCCAAATGTGAAAATCAAAATTTGACAAAGTTTGACATGTTTTTGTACATGGTGGAAGTGTGGCCAAGCTTTATTCAATACGGAGGTAGTCCAGTAAATTGGCCACATATGGAGTTAACTATCGACACCTGTGCTAGTGAGTGCTACGTATGCGTACTGTGTACATCATGGAGGAACTATTCCTTCCTCCATGCGTATTAGCCCCATAAATGTGGCCTATTTACTGGACTGCCTCCGTAAACATAGGCCACACATCCACATGTTCAAAAACGTGTCGACTTTGCCAAATTTTGATTTTCACATTTAGGCTTACTTTGTAGGTTTTTTTTGCTTTAGAAACATTCCACCCTCTATATAGGCCAATCAGAAAGTGCTGCCTTTTTCAGATGTCTAATTTTTGTAAAATTTCATGTTGAAATTTTGATACGCAAACGTGTGCAAATGTATCTGGAAATTTCACGAAAAATGGACATTTGAAAAAGGCAGCACTTTCTGATTAGCCTATATAGAGGGTGAGAATGCTTCTTAAGCAAAAAAAACTACAAAGTAAGCCTAAATGTGAAAATCAAAATTTGGCAAAGTCGACACGTTTTTTGTACGTGGATGTGTGGCCTATGTTTACGGAGGCAGTCCAGTAAATAGGCCACATTTATGGGGCTACATGCGTACATGACGTAGCTAAACGGATGTTCTTTCTTTTGCAACTTTATTTAAATGATTGCCTTTACAATTAAAATGAAAAAAACCTGAGTAAACATTTCACTGAAGTTACCTTTCTGATAAAAGTCCATTTAAAAGCTCAATTTTAATCAAACTTCAACCCTCAAAAGATATTTTATTCTTACCTGGAAAAAAGTGGAAGCGGGACGTCGCAGTGTTGCCAGGACATGAACGCTACTGTATCATCTCTGGGACCCGACTCGTACTCATACATGAGACAGCCACACAAAAGTACCGAAACCAAACTAGCCATTAATTGTGAAAGGCGCCCTCTGCATACTTGTAAATGCGTGAGTGATTGATGATCACGTACGTGCGCGCGTGCGCGCGTGACATGGCGACAAGGGGCGCGAATGCATGTATGATGAGTGTACCCTAACGTGGCGCACTTCGAAGCATACCCAAATTTCCTCGTGTAGTGTTGCCAAACCTCTTTGTTGACAAACCTCAAATTCATGCAGTGAAATACTGGTACTTTTACCTTATTAATGCTTGCTGTTTAACCTCTGTGAACAATTTCGGTTTCATAAAATTTAAGCCGAAATTAAAAAACGGTGGCGTCCGGAAATTGGGCACAATTTGGCGGAGTGTTCCCTAACGTGGCGCACTTAAATAAATCTCGGGAAATTCCAAATTAACATTTAAGAATTTCTGAAAACTTTATAAATTCTGATAAATCATTATTATCTCTACTTACATACCCAGCCAGATGTTTGTCACAAAATTATTTTCTTATTTTTCGGGGCATTTTCAAAGGGTTCACTTTGCACTTGAAAATAAAATCGGAAAATCACGCCAAAATAAGTTTTTCTTTTAACTTTGTAGCGGGTAAATAAATTCGCGATTTATGAACGGGAGTGTTTATAACTTGATGAAATTTCACTTTCTGTGAAATTTCAGTTAAAACTTTTGCTCTAGCTAGGCGCTACAGGCGAAAAATCAAAGTGCGCCACGTTAGGGGGCGCGCCACATTAGGGTACATCAACAATAGTGCGGAAGTCGGAAGTCAGTCACACAGCTGTTAGTGTTACTCACTGAGTCATGGTGTAGTATGTAGTCAACCCGTAAGCAAGGTAGGTATGCCCCAAAGAAAGAACATTTTTACTGCCATAACGGTCGTTAGAAATTCAACAAAGATTTCTTCGAAAGAATGTATGAAGAGAATTAGCTCTACTGAGTGGAGCGTTGAATTACGGGTACCCCTCCATATATGGAGGGGTACCCGTAATTCAACGCTCCACTCAGCTAGAGCTAGAAGAGAATATTGTATGATGACGTACATGTGTATGGCCACTTCATCTCAAAGGTCTGTCATGGAAAAAATGTTGCAACCTGACGCCACTTCCGCGATTGTGTTAAAAGTCTATGGAGAGTCGAGGCAATTTTCTAAGTATTTCCTAACAAAATTGGAAATGTTTCTCAGTCCCAGATTCATGTCTTAAGTCTTATCATCGTTTTTGCCATGACTGAAAAAGTGACGTCAGGTTGCAACATTTTTTCTGGAAACACTTTGAAAATGTTCTTGAAAGTTTGAATGCAACATTGGTGTTTTTGCAATGCCGGAACGATGGCAGCTGCAGTTGAATATTGCGTTACGGCTGCCGTAACATATAGCCACTGCCTATATATTATTTGACGTTTGATGCGTCCGCCATCCATTCCATATCATGCACGCTCAAAACTAACCCAACAAGTTGGAGTGATGTTTCTTAATGCCTTGCCAACTGTATCCAGTTGGTATCCAGATTCAGATTCAGAATTTTTTTTTAAATAGCTGGAATTTGCATCAGGGGAGTTGTATATCATTCCAGAGTTTGGTTGATTATCATTACTGACATATTTTATAACTCCTAGTACATGTATAAACTGCATATGATGTAAATATTCCTACTTATAACCTGATTAACCTGAAGAGCGAAAAATGTTAGTGAAGTTATTTGAATCTCATTCTTTTTTTGTTTCGCACAATTTAAGATCAGTCGTTAAGCGTTGCAAGTTGAATCAGGATACTGCATATATATACTGACATGTATGTGGGGGATTTAGGCTGTGTAGATTCATTAACGACCACTGTCTGTTACTGGTGCTTGTTTAACAGTTTACTGCAAACACACATATGTCTTATGTTCATCATTTATTCAACAAACTGTCAGGATTGTGAGTAATCTTTATCTCCAGAGCATTGGCACAGTTACATGTAATTCTCACATCTGTTAAAAGATAATGCTCACACAGTGATGATCTCCAATATCGCACAGTACATGAAATGCCTCCAAAGTCGTACACTGCAAATGTTATACACTCTGTAGTTTGCTGTACTAGTCAACAAGACACTTAGGTGGCCATGCATACAGTCACGCGACAATGTAGTACGATGAACTTTCGAAATACTTAACAGTCAAACAACACAAGAATGATCCAACGATAATTATAACGATAAGCGAATATCCCCCCGAATATGTGATTTGCAGATTATAGGCCTATGTAAGCGACGAAGAAGGGACCAGTTCAAAACCAAATGGCAGTTCTTACACAGCTTAATCAAAGTGATCCTTACTCAGCAGGCCGTGAAGGCAATTATCAGCTAAGTTTGTGGCCTCAAATAACTACATTTCTCCAGAAACGAAGTGATTTCTCAACAATAATTCTTCACAAACTAACAAGCGACATGTCTCCTTTCACTTCCGTACGTTGCTCGGTTACTGGAAACAGCGCCCTCCATCGGCACTTACAAGATTGTAAACAAACGTTCATTCATAAATTTTCGTCCGGAACAATGTACTTCCTATAAGTTCAAGAGTTACAAGTTGGGTTTGACTGGTTGATGGACAATCACGTGTTAATCCCATGTCCATGTGTTTTACTGTACAGCCATTCCATGGTGACTCGCGTGACATTTGAACAAAATGTAAAGTTTTAATGCATTACTGTTGTTAACCTGGCATTTATTCAACTCAAATTAGCATGTATTCGAGTCAGGGCATTGTGAATTTATGGTTTAGTCTTTATATGATTACTTTAAAATCGTTATTTTTTCATGTATCACAGTTTCTTTGACGTGACTCGCATGACAGGATAGAAAAAGGGATTTTTGACATCCCTTGATTCAAATAGCTTTTCCTATGGATCTACCAGTGTTCTAAAAATTATTCTTACTGAACTTAGAACTTAATACCCTCACCCAATACATGCATAAGTTGTATTGTGCCAAATATCCCTTGTTGTAAGAAATGGCCTGAAGAAAATGTGACTCGCGTGACACAAATGCGTGACTCGCGTGACACAGTAGCTTTTCACTTTCACATTATAACTGTAATTTTAGTATAACAAATCAAATCATAATATTATATTAATAAAAATGATTTACCTGTGAATACCTTATGAAAGAGCGTGAAAACTGCTATTTATCCCTTTACTTTGGCAAATGTTGGGGGTGGAAATCTGGTTTAAACACAATATCCTTAACAATGACATAGAGAGAAAAAAATGTTTTGGAATTTAAGTTACAAAGTGATGTCATCAATCCACGGGTGATTATTTCAGGAAAACAGTTGTAATTCTTGGTCATGTAGAGTCACAGTTTCCTTAAAAGGTTAGAGCTGCAATTAATGATGCGGTTGTATAGGAATGTATACAGTACAGTCGAATCTCGTTTGTACAAACTCTGTTAATACAAAATTCTGGTTATAACAAACATAAAGCCTTAGTCCCGACTGTGCATTTATGTGCACAATGAATGGGACTGATGTTCCTCTTAGTACAAAATTCTGATATAACAAACAATTTGGCTAGGTTCGAACAAGTTTGTATTAACGAGACTCGACTGTATATACATTTGTAAAAAACTGATTCAATTTCTTGTTACATAACTAATGCTTTTAAAGACTTAATTCGAATTCAATAATTTAATAGGGCCTATTGCACTGTTTCTTTGTACATGTATTACATGTAAATGAAACATTCCTGGCTTGTTACCAGGCGCGGATCCAGAGGGGGGGTTTTGGGTGTCAACCCCCCCCCCCCCCAGCTCTGTCCAAAAAAAAATTCTCATACAAATTCCCGAAGAATAAATCGAACCCCCCCCCCCCCCCCGTGACACCCCCAAAAACATTATACTGGTCTAAGGTCCGCCTGTTCAAAATACGGTACACCATTCTGTAATATGTTCATCGAATTTGAACAGCGCTCCCGATTGAAATTGGTACCAGCCCCCCCCCCCCCCACCCCCCGTCCCCCGTCCCCCACCCTCCCCATTTTTTTATTTTACGGAGGCCAAGTGTCCGGAGAAAAAAATGTGTGTACATTTTCAGATTTTTTGGCTGATGAAACACCCCCCCCCCCCTGCAAAAATTCCTGGATCCGCCCCTGGTGACTCGCGTGACATACATCATGTGTGACTCGCGTGACATTCTTGAGATAGTTTTTTCTACAAGGGATGTAGAGCAAATACGAATATTCATACTTTTATTGATAGACCACCACTATTTCATTTACAAATATCAAACACTAGCTGAATCCCTCTCTAGTTATTAAGTAATCTGAAAAAAAGTCCTTTTTTTGTGACTCGCGTGACATATTTTTGAGGGTGTTTTCACGATGAAATAGTGGGAAAATACTGAAGACATTTGGAAAAATTCTCAATGTTTTATCAAATAGACTGGAATAGCTACCAAATGTATGCAGATAAAGCACAATCTTATGAATGAGCTTCAATTACTTCCTCAGTTTGTGATTTATACCCCTGACCCTCTGTTTCGCCCACAAAATTCATCCATGTTCAGGAGGCTGAAATTTTAATTCAAATGATTTATTTTAAAAAATCTTTTGAGATTTAGATGGTTTCAATATTCCTCTTATCAAATACAACTGACAAAAATTTATTCCTTTCACTTCAATTTTTGAGTTTGGTGATGACCCTTACATGGAATGGCCGACTAGTATATATTCTTTTTGTGAACTCGGTGGCAAAGATCTAAAACTACCAATTTTGCTGATCTTCAGAGGTTACTCACTTGCATCTCATTTGTGCACAAAACTTCACTTGATCCAGTAAATTTAATTATTTAGGCCCTATGATGTTAAAGGTTAGACTGCAATGCTATATGAGTACTGAATGTTTCGACATTGTCACCATATAACAATTTTACACTATTTCGGATCTATGGATGAGGAACATGGTGTTCAGCAAGAGACCTTGGTAATTTACACCTCAATTTATTCATGTACACATTTTATCCCCTTACAGGTGAATGTATAGCTGCAACTTGTTTCTCAGGGAGAAGATGGTACACACCTTTTCCATCAATCTTGGCTATTCAAGTGACTTCAATACAAGCTGCACTGCATGTTGACATTGCTAATCTTGCTGGTGCATCATGGGAGTCAAGGGACTTACTTCTATGATTGAGCAGCATCCGTCATTGTTCACAAGGCATTGCCTACATGATGCACGTCTCGTTATTGATGGCTATGCGCTCCTGTTCTACCTGTACCTAGATCGCCCTCCCTGTGATAATGGACACCATGGTGGCCGTTACCAGACCTTTTCGGCCAAGTGTCACCTCTTCTTTCTCAATCTTGCTAAGTGCAATATTTCTCCGTATCTTGTGTTTGATGGAGCCTTAGAGATGGACAACAAGAAGTTTGCAGAAACCAAATCTAGGAGCCAGGAACGTATCCGAACGGCTGTTGCTATTCCTAGTGGTAGCGGTGGGATAGCCGTTTCTCCTTGCAGTGTATTGGTGTTCATGAAGGTGCTGGATGATCTTGGCATTCAGTATGTATTTTGTGACTTTGAGGCAGATGCTGAAACTGCAGCTCTGGCTAATGCTTTGGACTGTGCAGCAGCTTCCCGTGACAGTGACTTCTACATCATGGACCTGAGAGATGGATACTTGCCACTGGACCACTTTGACTGGAAGAATCCTAGAAGGATTAAGGTGTCAGAAGCAGCAGCACAGCCAAGTGGGTGGAAGCATAAGAGGACAGCCAACCCATCATCGGGTCAGCTGTACATTGAGTGTATGAAGTACAAGAGTAGTGCCTTCTGCAAGATGTTCCATGTCAAGCAGGCATTACTGCCCATACTTGCAACTGCTGTTGGAAATGATTACAAAGACACCTTTGGAGCCTCTCTTGACCCATTCCAAAGCTTTGTTCGTTCCAAGTTTTTTCGATCAAAGGCGGGCAGGAGGAGCTACAACCAGATTGTTAGTTATCTTTCCTGGCTGAGTGAAAAGGAGACAAAGGAGGAAGCCATCAATGACATGGTCAGGCATGTGAGAGGAGCTGATCGAGAGAAACTGAGACGCTTGATTGATGCATCCCTTGAGATGTACCACTTTTCAGATAGCCTGACCGTGGCGCACTTTTCTGGTGGTCTGTTGAATCCTGAACGAAGTAAGTTGGCAGCGTGTGCTTCTGTACCACCCTGGTTTGTTGCTCTGCTGCATCAGGGAAAGGTTGCAGCAATGTGCGCCAATGTCCTTTGTAACAAAAGGGTCTTCCTTACAATTCAGGTGGAAGACTCTCGCCAGCCCAGTGCTGGGGGAGCATCACTTAACATCAGAGCCATCTTGTACGGCATCTTGCTTCAGGAGCAAAAGTCAGCCTCTAGAAGGCCACCAGTTGTTGAGGAGTATGCACAGTCATCTGGGAGTCTGAAGCACAGTATTGTCGAGCCAGCCCATGACATCGCTGGAGGTGATGGGCGGAAGCTAGCTTTGCCCAGTCTACAGGATATCCCAGGTATGTGTGAAACTGATCGCAGAGCAATTCTCCTTGCTACAGCAGGGATTGATGGCTCAGTCATTCGCAGCATTCCAGCGTTGTTCCAACTTGCTACTTGTGTGACTTTAAACTTGCTCAGTCATGCAGACCCACCTGTCTACTCTGACCAGATAGTAGCCCTTCTTGTCAGCTGGTTACATGGAGTTGCGGCAAGCAGGCAGAGATACATCAACAAAGGCCAAGGCACTCCAAAGCTCCTTCAAGTGGGCCTGGAAAACTCTGATGTGCATGCCATCCTCACAAACTGTAAGCCACATGAGAATAAGTACAAGGAGTCTCGACAGTTAGATGTGGATGTCATCCAGGCAATGGCACAGTGGCAGCAATGCATGCTTGACTTAGTCCATCTGAATAAAGTACTGCTTGGTCCATATGCATATCCTGACATGTCAGTCCTGTACAATGGTCCTCTGATTCACAGTCTCTGCATCATTCTGAAATCGATTTCTTCCACAGAGCAGCAATTACAGTGGGTGGTGAGAGAGCTCCTGCGTGGCACAAGGCCAAGAGTTCGCGCGTTGCTTGATCAGCTCCTTGAGCCCTCCTGGCCCTTTCTCATGCCAAGGAAGAGGACCAAGAAGAGAAAGAAGGGTAAGAAGGCATCATCCAGGCCAAGAACCTCAAAGCCATCCATGGACACCCCTCCTGCGAGAGGTGCTGAAGGTGCTGCAGAGGGAGACACTGTTGAAGTGACTTATGGTGTCCAGGTTTTCAGCAGGTTTGCTGCACTGGGACAGAATTAGTGAGATCCGCTAGTTCGATTACTTTGACCTGTATGTCTTTGATGCTGTGCATTCTGCTTATATACTTCAGTAGGCTATGGTGCACATCCTTTTTTGTTCTAATAGTGTTCAATTATTTTGATCAATAGAAGCACAATGACATACATTTGTACAATGTGACTGATATATCCCATTCTGTTTATTTTATAATATTTTATAGTAGTTTCTTGATGTTCAGAAGAAATTGATGTATCTTTTGTGTCAAATGTTCAAAGTATTACATATTTTTAATTTGGATATAATTGTTAAAGTATTTTACACTTCCTTCAAAAAGGTATTTGCCCTTTTGTATTTACCCTTTTATCAATTTAGTTGTGAGTTTCTGTTAAGCTTTTGATTGTTTGTTTTTCCCAGTACCATTTTGCTGGTTGTTTTTCATAGATACCGTTAAAGGGCATCCAATCTCAATTGAGAATCAAATGATATGAAATAGCTTCTTTCACCTCATTTTGGGAAACAAATGCATGTTAACAGTTCAAAACCACACGTAAATCTAATTGCACTGCCTGGCTTGAGGGGATAAATATTTTATCCAAGATTGAAACTTAACTTTAAACTTAACCTTAAACTTATAAAATGTGCACTGCATGTCAACTATCTATATTTGTAAAAGTTCCTATATTGTTCATTTTGAAATATCGGTGCAAAATCTATATTTTTGGTGCAATGGAGACATTAAAATACTTGACTCGTTAGATTCTAGTACAGATTTAAGAAGAAATTGTTCATGCTGTATGCTGTTGTCTTTGAAATTGACATTTGTTTGGTGAACAACTTAACCCTAATCCCGCTAAATGCAACAGAATGCAACAGAATGCAACAGTGGTAAAAAGTTGTTGCAAGTTCTTGCATTTAGCAGCCAACTCAAGTCACCATGCTTTGTTGCATCTTGTTGCATTTAGCAGGGCAACTGCTCACAAGGCGATACAAGAGTATCCACTGTTGCAGTTTGTTGTATTTAGCAGGGTAACTGCTTGGTGCCAGGGCTGGTATGCACTGGGTTCACTGCACAATGCTACAGACATTTAGCAGAGTAACTGCTTGGTGCCAGGGCTGGTATGCACTGGGTTCACCGCACAATGCTACAGAATCCACTGTTGCAATTTGTTGCATTTAGCATGGTTCTCATTTGTGTTGAGTGGAGTGGATATTGTTGCATTTAGCAGGGTACCTGAAGAATACCCATGGGGGGGGGGGGGGTCAGAGTTAGGTGTTTCCATACAAGATAAGAGGCAGATTGCAAATATAACCCACTATGCCTCATAATCATTTGATTGTCAAACCAAGTGTCTGTTTCAAGTTTTGAAGTTTGATTTGGTTTATTCTTCAGAGATTATCTTTTTTTTTTACTTTTGACTTAGGATTTTGAATGTGAGTTCAAAGATTATGATGTTGGCAGGTTTAATTGAATCTGTTAAGTATGCAACTTCATGTATAATTTTGCAAAAATTTTTAACTTTTATAACTAAATGAAAAATACTTCATGTGTAAAGTTATTATATATATTATATATCTTATAAAACTGCAAATTTTAGCTCAGTGCAGCTTTTAAGTTTACATTTATGCATCATGATTCTTTGTACATTTCCAGGATAACTGAATTTGAGAAATGTTTTAAAACTTCAATATATATGTGTATCTAATAAAAAAAGTGATTGAAAGAAACAAATGCGTATCATTGTTTTGAGGCTGATTAGAAACAGAAAAGGGCTGCAAAAAATAAATTAGGTCACTTTTAAAAGAAGATTTACCCACTTTGATCCCCAACCCAAAACCTTTTATGTTTATGCTAAAGTATGTAGTACAATGTACTGGTTTGGACTGGGTTGCATACAAGGGATGGATAGGGGAGGATATCATAGATAGATGATTGGAAAGGTCAACGTCGGCAGTACGTACGTTCTGTACTTTAAAAAGCGTCTTTGAAAAGCGGCAGGCTAAGTACATGAAAAAATATTTCAAGAAGTGGGCTAGGGGAAATATTTTACTCCTCTTGCTCAGTCTGGATCGATCCCCCGTCTTCCGCTTGCAGTGCACTTGCCTATCGAGAAGGATGTTATATTATACTGGTTTGGGTTGAAAATCAAATGGACGTCCGGACTTCAAAGGGGTGCATACCTATGTTCCCCAATACCGATGTCCCCCGAAATCCTTACCGTACAACCCTAACCCTAGCCCTAATCCCAAAGATTTCGGGGATCATCGGTATTGTGGGGAACATCGGTATTGGGGAACATCGGGTAGACCCCCTTCAAAGGCACTGGCAACAGACCTCTGTAAATTTACATGAAGGTAGGAAATACTTTGCACTATTTATTTAATTCGTGGTACCTTTTTGTATTTTTTTGTGTGGAGTGTATTCCGGCGCACCGGTGTCACGGTCTCACTTCTCCAGCGTGCTAGATTCTCCGGGTGAATGCGGCGGATAATTGAGCACGTTACAGTGCACGTTACATGAGCACGATACATGCTCATGTGTCCGCTGTGCTTACTTTTCCTCGGGCTGTTCTGAAGTCTACCAAGTCCATATGTAACACAGTGAGGGACACCCAAGAATGTGTTATGTAACACTTCCTGTGGGTCGATCTAGCTATTGAGCTTATTATAGAGAGGAGTATGGTCATTCCATTCCATGGTCTTGCAAGCACTCTGATTTGTGTTCCCAGCGTCGTGTGGGTGTGCGAATGGGTGGGTGTGACTACAAATTTGTATCCTTGTGGAGACACACACATAATAGGGAACAAAACATTGTAAAGGTCTCCACAGGGCAATTTCTATAAATGAATAGGTCTCCACAACCCTTACAGAAATGTCCCATGAGCATCCCATGGGATTCCCATGGGGTCCCATGGGATTCCCATGGGACCCCATGGGAAACCCATGGGGTCATCAAGAACACCATGTAAGTTAAAATGATCATCATGGGAAACCCATGGGAACACCATGGAGATTGCATGGACAACATGGGAACACCATGGGGATTTTACGAGCTCCATGGGAACACCATGGGGATTTTATGAGCTCCATGGGAACACCATGGGGATTTTACGGACACCATGGGAACACCATGGGGATTTTATTGACATCATGGGAACACCATGTGGAATTAATGAACACCATGGGAACATCATGGGAATTTATGGACACCATGGGAACACCATGGGAACCCCATGGCGATTTTATGGACACCATGGGAACACCATGGGGATTTTATGGACACCATGGGAACACCATTGGGATTGTATGTCACCATGGGAACACCATGGGGATATACTGGACACCATGGGAACATCATGGGGATTTTAGACACATGGGTACACCATGAGGATATGGGGATTTTAGACACATGGGTGTCTATGAGGATTCGGACGCCATGGGAACACCATAATGTGGGTGATATAAATTATGGATACTGTTGCGTTCCCTAATAGCAGTTCATGAAACATTTATTAGAGTCAACAATAATTCAATAAGTTGGAGTGAAACAGAGCTTTGGGGTGACAGTCACACATGTCAATACACTGATTTATTCATCTCATCACTTTACATAACTTTGTTAGATTTCATCAACCTATAAGGTTTCTCCTTTTGATAGTCTTTGGTAGCGTTATAGAGATAACAGGTTGGTGTCTACAAAGTCTATACATGTACTATGTACAATGGCAAAACCATGTCAACCAATACGAACTGAGTGGGCACCGGCACGATACGGGTTATCGACGGCCAGACCGAAGCGGGAGCGGTCCGCTACGGTAACCGGGAGGCAACGGTAACTGGACGGGGCCAGCAAGTGTACCAGGCCGCACTACAGTTCGAACCAAAGTGTGCATGTGGCGTATCGGGTATCCAAGGTCAATCGAGGCACTCTGCACCAAGGATAGTGTTTATGACAAGACCGGGCTAGCATAGCTGTGTATTACTATTTCACCAGCTTCTACACACTCCTCAAGGGATCTAGGAGAAGGATGCTTCATAATAACACTAGTACTAGTGATTGCACTATTACTTCACCGCGCCTCAACCACCGAGGGAGGCCGATGCTTCGTAGTGACAAGAGTCGCACAACAATCGGTCTGTCAGAGTCGAGTTCGTCGCACATCATACGATTTACCGCACAACATATAAGTTCGCCGCACAACTTTGGGTTTAGGGTTCGTTCGCACTACATTGGTTTCGTGGTTCGCCGCACTGCCGAAAGTGAGTAAAACCTCCGGTATTTATAGGCAGTAGAAGTCTCGGGATTAAATAATGCATGAGCACTGATTTAGGAATTAACCAATAGTAATCTTCCATGTCTTAGGGTCACATGACTAGTCACATGATTTACTAAGAGTGCCTAGTGCAAGAGACTAGAAACGTGTGCATTTACATAAGGGAAAACATGGAGAGAGGAGTGTGCAAATACAGAGAGAGATGTGTGCAAATAGTTAGATCAGAGTGCAAAAGTGTTTACACAACATCTCGAGCAACCTTGATGGAGTGAGTGACAAGCTAAAAGGTTACTGTGTCACAGGTTATTGACACCGCAGGATGTCTTACCACGCCCAGCTACGCGACCACGCAAGGGTAACATTCCATTCCCTCGAGCTAAGTACGGGACTAGAAAACTGGACCGTGAACTCCGGTTAGTGTTCATGGGTAACGCACGGGGGAGAGAAATGCTGCGTGCCGCTGAGCAGTCTCTCGGAGATCGCCAAAGCACGCATGCTATGGGGAAAGGAACTTAGCTCGCTGGGGCGAAGGGAGGTGTGGTCAGTCGCGCACATGTACATCGCTACATGAATAATGCATACAGTAGCGCGCGTGGTATTGCATCATGCGCTGTGCTTGGTAAGAGACCCTGGGAATAAAAGTGCAAGTTGGCAATTTACGATAAATGGGTAAACTACAGGAACTATAAAAGACAACAATAAGATTGTGTACTTCATGGACAGAGTGAATCCAGAGGGCGCTAGATTTCCATAATCAAGCATTCTGGGTTCGTAACAATACAATGGGAACACCATGGAGATTTAAAAGGCAGCACGCGTGGACACTGCCGGGTTATACTGGAGAACATGCATGTGCCATGAAAAACCATCATAGACCCAATTGCACTCCCAAGTTATAGGCAAACCTTTCTTTGATTTAATTACTTATTCGCCTAGCTGTAAATTTGAATTCAATTAAAAATATTTCCCTTGTGGCCATAGAGGTTATCAAGAATTCTATTTGTTAAGCTGACCATGGGAAACTCCTGTGGATGTTCACCAATTGAACACAATGGGATAAACACCATGGGACACCATGGGAACACCATGGGAACACCATGGGACCACCATGGGACATTTTTGTGAGAATCTCTTACAATAACGAGTGTTGTAATTGCACATTTTTGAATTTTTCTGTTGATAAGTGAAGTTAAATGATGCATACAGTATTTTTTTATGTGGACAATGTGTCATTCAAACTTTGGATATATTGATTCATTTATTATTATGGTTGGAAACATTTATGAGAAAATAAATTGAAAACACTGTGATAATATGGTACAACTTAACAAGTGGTATGGGAGCAATAATGTGGACTTTAGTCGTAGAGTGCACAAGCCACTCCTGTTACGTGGAACAACCCCCCATCGGAGTTCCGTGATGTGCTTTACCTATTTGGTGAATAGCACTTAACACACAGGGTTAAAATGTATAGGAAGTTGTTATTGAAAAATACCATGGAGCAATAATTTTTTTGAGAAATGAAAGGAAACCATACATGGGAAAAAGCCATGCTACATGGTGTCCAATTCACCATGCAATTCCCATGGGGTCCCATGGGAAAATTTCCCATGGGAATTACATGGGACATTTCTGTAAGGGAAGGTTTTCACGAAATAGATATATGGGTTTTACTCAAAAACTCGGAATTTCCAAGGTGGGTTGATTTGTCGCAAATGGAAGAGTTTTAGAAAAGGGATATTTAGTCCAAATTTCAGCCAAGGAAACTAATTCTGGTTAAAATAAGAGCATTTTGAAACTTCACTTTCAAAATTGAACACTTTACTACACGAGAACAAAGGAATGTCTCCACAAGGATACACATTTGAGAATGTGTGTGTGTGTGTGTGTTCATGGAGGAATAATTAAGAACGAGCTCCTTGGTCTGTGCAACGTTCCTTGCTCAGGCTCGTTCGTGGTTGTCTTTATTTTTGCAACCATCCTTCAAGTTTTTTGATTACATGTATCGGTATGAGTTGCGCGCGCCACG